CGACGAAGCTTGAAGAAAACCACCCTTTCCAAAGCTTCAAACACCTTATTTTCATCCAAAAACCTGTTCCACACCCCACTCACGATGCAGTAATTATTGTTATACGGCGGCCGGTGGTGGGCGGCATGCTGTGATCGTGATAGAAGCACTCCACCATCTCGCAATGCCACCACTAACGGCGGCAGCTTGCTCTTAGTCCCATGAGCCCAAGCATGGAACTGCTGGCTAAACATGATACACCCACTAGCCATCCCGACGAACCCCATGGCCACCGGTTGGTCATGCCAGATCAAATTGATCAGTATACGTAATTACACGCGACATCAGGTGTAAATTGTTCGCAAACTGACGTTTAGTGATCGTCCAGGGCCAATTATGGTGGCCCTGAAATGCTTCGATTTGTGAACCAAATATTGGAGTTGAAGCATCGCCATAATTGTCGATGCTCCAATGGGAGACACCGGATGCAATGTCCGCAAACAAGTAGCCGGCGATCCCAGATAAAATGGGTTCGAGCCACATGTGTGAGTTGATTGAGCTGATTAAAGAGGCGGCTATAGAAGCTAGTACGATGGTGCAACCGATTGCCACCCAACCACGTGGATTTAAAGCTTGGGTCATCGAGTTTGGGTGGAGTGATGAGGGGTGTTGGGTTGAGTTTCGACATTTGTTGGCCGCCGTTGTGAGAGCACGGTGGCTGTGGTGGTGGCGTAAGGTGGAGATTGGAATAGTGGGTGGTGTGATATATAGAGATCCGATCGAAAGAGTCAAGTGTGGCATGTTTGCATGGTAAGTGGTTACGTGTTTCATTCACCACAACAAAACTAGCATTCGGCTATATCAATCACTTAAATAGTTTTAGATAGTTTATATAACTAATTAATGGGTTTATATGTCAACGTATAATTCATATGTGAATCATATAGGTTCACGTATGAATCCGTTTGTCGTCTATTTGTAAAAGTTACAAAACCATCCCTTTTATTTTTCGTATAGCCGCGACTTTTTACAAGTTAAAGCCACAATTATTGACCGAAATCCGATTTTGATCACAGGAAAGACCAAAATCACTTCTTTACTTCTCAAATATTTACTTATTTTCAAAATAACATTTGACTATATATATCTATACTATATTATAAAGCATTTGGCTAAAACTCTTAAAAACTCTTAAACTCTTAAACTCGTTCATCCCTATCCGATTTCATCCCTATCCGATTTCATCCCATATCTGAATTCGTGTAACTAACTGCAGATAAACACAATCAAATACAGGATAAACATCTCATTTTAAATATAAAAAAATCTAAAATATAATTAGTATAATCATTAAATTCTAACAGAATACTTAATTATTATCCTTATAAAATTTATAATATAAAACCAAAAATAAATTGTTTTATTATTAAACTTAAATTAAATTATATCTATCTATACTATATTATAATGCATTTGGCTCATTCTCTTAAAAACAAATTTTCATGCATAAGATACAATTAATTTGTGCACTTTACTTAAAAATAAAAAGTACAAGTTAATTATGCATACGTACATGTTTTTAAAGCATACCACTCCCATTGAAATCTTACTTCGTCCTTATAATTTCTCTAATCCAACTAACGTCCCTGTAATCTCTCTTTTTCAACGAGTAGATAGTCACTGTCGATTTCATATTTAATGGGTGGTTTTGACTCAATATTTGTTATAATCACCGTCAACTTCCATTCCCCAAAGCTCGGTTGCTTTTCTTTCAAAGTAAGTTTCAATCTCATGTATTTCGACCATTGCTTCTGATTGATTTGTGGTCTGTATCGATTTTTGTTTATTTCTTTTTGACTCATTACGTATCGATTCTTTATGGTTTATTTGTCTGGTTCTTTGTCGGTTTAGGTTTACTTCCTCGGAGCTCGATTATTTCTCATCTCCAAATCTTGATTGCTTCTCTTTCAAGGTAACCTTCAACCTTATGGGTGACTATATTGATTGACCATAAATCATTTGATAAAAACTCTTAAAAATCATTTTTTAATGCATAAAGTACTTTTTGTTGATGCATATTACTTAAAATTCAAGATCACAAGTAAATTATGCATAAATACAACTTATTAAAGCTTCATTTTTTAATTTGTGTAACTAACTATAGATAAATATAATCAAATATGATATATACATCTCATTTAGAATATAAAAAATCTAAAATATAATTATGATAATCATT